CAGGTGGATGTAAACAATCCTATGGCGCTCTGGCAAGGAAGAACAGGGGAGTTGTATGCAGTATATTAATCTAAAACCTTAGAGTATATTAAACAACATTTATCATAAGACCAGAGACCAGATTATCAAAGTGCTGTTTGTGGGTGCTTGCTGAGTGCACATTGTTGGAGGTCAGTCATCTTAGCTCCAGGACATCTCTGCAGGAGTTCCTTAGGGTATTGTCCTAGGCCCAACCACCTTCAGCTGCTTCATCGTAGAATCATAGAATCCCTACAGTGTGGAAACAGGCCCTTCGGCCCAACAAGTCCACACCGAACCTCAGAGCATCCCACCCAGACCCATCCCCCTATAACGCACCTAATCTACACCTCCCTGAACACTATGGGCAATTTAGCACGGCCAATCCACCTAACCTGCACATCTTTGGACTGTAGGAGGAAACCAGAGCACCTGGAAGAAACCCGCGCAGACACAGGGAGAATGTGCAAACTCCACACAGACAGTCGCCCTGTAATCAAACCCAGGTCCCTGGCGCTGTGAGGCAGCAGTGCTAACCACTGTGCCACCGTGCCACCCATCATCAATGGCATTCCCTCCATCATAAGGTCAGAAATGGGGATGTTCACTGATGACTGCACAATTTGTGACTCTTCAGATACTGAAGCAGTCCATGTTCAAATGCAGCAAAACCATTAACATTCAGGCCACATGATTGGCAGAGAATGACCACCTCCAGTGAGAGAGAATTTCACCATCTCCCTGGGACGTTCAGTGGCATTACCATTGCTAAGTCCATCATTATCAACTTCTTGGAAGTGGCCATTGACAAGAAACTGCAGTGGTTCGAGAAGGCAGCTCACCACCCCTCTTCAAGGGCGAACAGGAATGATCAATAAATACTGGTCCAGCCAGCAAGACCCACATCCTGTGAAATAATTTTTAAAAACTGGCTGCTGTGCTTGTTACACTGAACAGTGATACGCTTCACAAAGTTGCTTTATGGGCTGTAAAGTGATTTGGGATGTCCACTAGTTGGGAAATGTGCTTTGTACATGCACGGTTATTCCTGCAGTTGAGCAGAAAGCTGTGAGGAATGGCTGTTTGCTGGCATTCGGCCCGCAATATACAGTTTGTTGCACAACTGTTCATGCCACCTTCCTGATCAGCGACAACAGCTTCAGAGATGGTCTGTGGTTGCAGAGCATCAAATCCTGATTCAAATTGCTGCTAAACTTGAAAGGGTGCAGAAAAGATTTACAAGGATGTTGCCAGGGTTGGAGGGTTTGAGCTATAGGGAGAGGCGGAATAGGCTGGGGCTATTTTCCCTGGAGAGTTGGAGGTTGAGATGTTGACCTTATAGAAGTTTATAAAATCATGAGGGGCATGGATAGGGTGAATAGTCAAGATCTTTTTCCCAGGGCGGGGGAGTCCAAAACTAGAGGAGGGCGGGGGAGTCCAAAACTAGAGGACATAAGTTTAAGGTGAGAGGGGAGACATTTAAAAGGGGCTTAAGGAACAACTTTTTTATGGAGAGGGTGGTGCATGTATGGAATGAGCTACCAGAGGAAGTGCTGGAGGCTGGTACAATTACAACGTTTAAAAGGCATCTGGATGGGTACATGAGTAGGAAGGTTTTAGAGGGATATGGGCCAAATGCTGGTAAATGGGACTAGATTAATTTAGGATATCTGGTCGGCATGGATGAGTTGAACTGAAGGGTCTATTTCTGTGCTGTATATCTCTATGACTCTATGGCTCTAATAGAACCCTACAGTGTGGAAGCAGGTCATTCAGCCCATCAACCCCACACCAACCCTCCAAAGAGCATCCCACCCAGACCCACACCCCTACCCTATCCCTGCAACCTTGTATTTCCCATGACTAATCCACCTAGCCTACTCATCCCTGGACAGCTTTTACTTCCATATTCTTTATCCTTATACATATGGAACATATAGCCATTCCAAAGTGCTTCATAGGACTTTTATAAAGCAACTTAAAGAAATGTTCAGTGATTTGACCAAAGCTTATGCAAAAATGTAGATTTCAGAAAGTGAGGTAGAGAGGAGAAATGTTTAGGGGGGGAATTCCAGGTAAACTGCAAATATCTGTTAAACTTGAGGCTCTGTGGAAAATATCACAAATTAGAATTCTGCAAAACTGTTAGGTTAGTATGGTTTAGAGATAGTAGGAACTGCAGATGCTGGAGAATCTGAGATAACAAGATGTAGAGCTGGATGAACACAGCAGGCCAAGCAGCATCAGAGGAGCAGGAAGGCTGCCGTTTCGGGCCTAGACCGTTCTTCAGAAATGGTTTATTGTTTTGACTAAATGTGTTTAATAAACACCAAATTTTCAGTGGAAAGCTTACACAAAGTCTCAGGACTTAGTTGAGACCCTGAAATCTTGAAACATTTCACTTCATGCATAAACATTGGGTTCTGGATCCTGTTTCTGAAATGTGGAATCCTTTTCCCAGCCCTCCTTTAACTGTTCTGAGTTTGCTGTCACATACATTGCCACTTTCAAAGTGGTAGGACTCTTTGATAAAACTAATCATAAATTATATAGGTAGCTATGGTTTTATTGATAGAGGGCTTCAATATAAAAGCCAGAAAGTTATGATAACTATTAGAAATTATTAGTTAGACCTCATCTGGAGTATTACACCTAATTCTGGTCACCGCACTGAGGATCATTAGAGTGGGGGGTGCAAAGGAGATTTGCCAAAATGATTCCAGGAAAAGAGGAAGATTGTTACATAGAAACAGACTGGAGAAGTTAAGACTGCCTTTATTTAACACCAATTATTCCCAGGTGAGCTCCTACTTAACTCAACAGATTGTGATTCAGGTAAACCTTGCCCTGAAGAAGGAATGAGACTTTGAAAGCTTGCATCCTCAAATAAACCTGTCGAACTATAACCTGGTCTTGTGTGATTTTTTGACCTTGTCCACCCCAGTCCAACACTGGCACCTCAACATCTTATTCGTGATGCGCTGGGCTCCATCTAATGCTGAGAAAAGTTTTTAAGACCTAACTGTACAGTTTTTGTTAGCTTTAGAAACTTATTTTATTTTGTAAGTTGCTTAAGGTAGGAATGTACATTACTGGCCATGTAGTACAGCGCTTCAATCTAAATTCACTCCTCCCAAGCAAAAAAAATGTCGGCAGGAACCTAACTCTGATTTTAACAACGATCCCTATGGGAGTCAATACTTCACGTCTAGAGTCATACAGCATGGAAACAGACCTGTCAGTCCAAGCCGTCTATGCTGAACATAACCCCAAACTAAGCTAGTCCCAGCTGCCGGCTCCTGGCACATACCTCTCCAAACCTTTCCTATTTGTGTACTTATCCACATTCTTTTAAATGTTGTAATTATGCCCACATCCACCACTTCCTCAGGAAGTTCATACCACATGCGAACCACCTTCTGTGTAAACATTTGACCCCAGGTCTTTTTTAAAATCTCTCTCCTCTTACCTTAAAAATCTGCCCCCTCCCAGTCTTGAAATCTCCCATGCTAAGGAGAAGACAACTACTATTAACCCTATCTATACCCTCTTAAAGTTGTGATTTTTCAAAAATAGAGCTATAAATTTAAGTGACGAATTATTATAGTTTTCTTATTGAAAATTAGGATTCAGCACTGTGAAGATTAAATTAATAAATGGAGATGGTCTCAGATTGTCAGGAAAATGGTTTTGAACCAGACAGGGTGTTATGACTTTACTAAATAGACTTGACCTATCACTGCTCCTGTTTCTCTTGGGAGAATGATGAGAGTGGAGTTGTTTAAAACCGATAGTCAGAGAGAAACTGTTTCTGCTGGCAAGATCAGTAACAAAAAATGCAGATTCAGTTGCTGAAGAAGCTAGGAGACAGATGAGAGAAGTTTTCCCACATGTTTTAATAATCTTGAACGCAGTGTTTACAGTGTGGTGGGAACAGGTTCATTGTTAATGTTCAAAACGGACTGAAATGAATCTTTAATGAAAAATGCGTGCAATGGTGAATGAGCAGGGAAATATGCAGAATTAGATAATTATTCTAAGAGCCAGTGCAAGCTAAATGGCCTCCGTCTGTATCTTTGATTCTCTGAGGAGGGCTGCAGCTATGAAAAAAGAACACTAAATAAAAGAGATAACACAGTGTGGAGCTGGAGCTTCTGGAGAACGGTCCCGAACCGAAACGTCAACTTTCCTGCCCCTTTGATGCTGCCTGGCCTGCTGTACTCCTCCAGCTCCACAATGTATTATCTCTAACTCCAGCATCTGCAGTTCTTACTATCACTAAATAAAAGCTTTTGTTTTAATAATAGAAGAATGACTGGGAAGGATATCACATGGCCTAATTAATCACAAGATAACGAAATGTTATATTCTGAGTTAAATAGTGTCTCCACTGAGGCGGGAGTGTAATGGCAGTGCATAGATCACAAAGTATAAACGGGAAATTAAGGTGAGGTTCTTTACACAGAGGGTAGTTAGAATGTAGAATTCTCTGACACAAAAGCAGAATCTGCAAATCTCTTTAAAAATGGAATTGGGCTCGTTGAAAGGAATAAGGTGCAAGAAGGCATGGTCACCAGTGGGACTAGACTATCTTCAAGTTAATATATTTCAAACGGTGAATTTATAACCTGGCATTTTCTTTCACGCCGCAACTTCAATATTCTTGTTCAACACAAAATTAGTAAATTAAGTGTTGTTCACCGAACTTCGAATCAAATTGTCAAAGGCCATCCACCAGTCGAGGACAGTTGCGATTTTGAAAGGTAGATATTAAGTGTCTGGAGGTGTTTGCTGAATTTAAAAGTAATGGAGGCAGAACTACCTAGGAGGACTTTGTTTTACCTCTGAGAGTTTCTACTTAAACTGCACCTTCCCCCACCTCACACACCACCCCCCCCACAAAAAAAAATCAAAGGCTTCCCCGAGAGGCTCTTCTCCCCTTCAATCTCTGGTCTTCAGGCACAGTTTGACCAATGGTTACTGTGGGACTCCGGGTCATATAAAAGGGTGGAGAGTTTCAGCTGATGCTGGACCCCAGGGAGAGTGAGTGAATGGCGCAGTTAGTTTGGGCCTGAGTCGGTAATTAACAGGTAGGAGAAAGGGCTTTTAAATCCGAGGCAGGCAAATCCCAGTTAAAGATTTTATTTCCCTCGGTCTAGCGAGATGACATGCTCCACGTTTTCCACAGTGCATAGTACATACATGTTTTTTTTTAAATTGCAACTTTGTTTGCACAAAGGACGGTAATTAGCTTTGTGATTGAGTATCTTCTTGTCACTGATGAAAAGAGACTTTTTTTTTGCTTTTGTTTATAAGAGAATTTCAACCTGGGAGTCTGTCCAGCACAGAGTATGAACTTGGATGGGCCAGTTCTCTCGTCCGGCGCCCCTCCAGAAATTAAAGACCCCTCGGGTCGGTCACCAAGTGACTTCCAGCTTTGGGAAGCTGTGAGTGTGACGCTTGCAGGCTTTCGATGTATGAGGAGTATTATCACTGGGCTTGATCCCAAGTAGCTGTCCTCACATAGCCAGTATGTTTGGGGTTGGGAGACCATTGTGATTAGGAACCAGAAGCCCCTGGCTTTGTTGAATTCTCATTCTGCATTCCACACCTGTCCCACTCCCTGCAGTATGGAATATGGTGCACTGTCTATGTTTGATTGTGTACTGTTATGGTCACCACACTATCAGAAGGGTGTGGATGCTTTGCAGAGGGTACAGAAAAGGTTACCAGGATGTTGCGTGGTATGGGGAACTTTAGCTATGAAGAAAGGTTGGATAGACTGGGAGCAAAAATGGAAATTGCTAGAACAGTTCAGCAGGTCTGACAGCATCTGCAAAGAGAAACCAGAGTTAACATATCAGGTCTGATGACCCTTCCTCAGAATGTTCTGAGGAAGGATTGCTGGAGCTGAAATGTGAACTTCTGATTTCTCTTCACAGATGCTGCCAGACCTGCTTAGCTCTTCCAGCAATTTCTGTTTTTGATTTACAGCATCGACTGTTCTTTTCAGTTTTTATTTGGATAGACTGGGTTTGTTTTCACTGGAATGCAGGAAGTTGAGGGGTGACCTGATAGACATTTATAAGATTGTGAATGGCATGGATAGAATGGAAAGTATGAGGCTTTTTCCCAGGGTGGAGGGGTCAATTACTAGGGGACACAGGTTCAAGGTGCAGGGGGTTGTGGGGGGCAGGGAATTTTAGAAGAGATGTGTGAGACACAAAGGGTGGTGAATCCCTGGAATGTGCTGCCAGAGGAGGTGGTGGAAGCAGGCACAATAGCTGCATTCACGAAGCACCTGGACAAATACATGAATAGGAAGGGAATGGAGGAATATGGATCCTGTAAGTGAAGCCAGTTTTAGCATGGAAAGCCAAAATGTGTCAGTGCAGGCTTGGAGGGCTGAAGGGCCTGTCCCTGTGCTGTATTGTTCTTTGTGCATTTGTAAAAGTTGAGTTTCCAATTTCCAAAGCACAAAGCATTTTTAATGTAACGTTGGCTTTAATGAAAGCAGTAATTTAACTTTAATTTTCACATAGAAAGTCTCCACCTCTATGAACACACTGTACATGTCATTGTGTGTATATTTTGCAGAGAGGCTTGATTCAATGCAGAGTTCTTGATCTTTCAAGTACGTAAACAAGTTACCTTTTCTCCATTGTGCACTAGAATTTCTCTAAAAGTTTGTATGTTTTGCATTAATACTTTCCACAGAAGATGGCAAATGATTTGTTGAACACTCCAAATAAGTTGGCATTCGAAGCATGGGTAGAAGAAACTGGCATCAGTCTGGTCCAGATCAATGGCCAAAGGAAGTTTGGGGGACCTCCTCCAGGTTAGTTGTTAGGCATTTTCTCTTCACTGGCAGGAGGCAGTACAGGAATGTAGTGTGTTATCTTTGTTTTCGTGTGGTGAGATCACTGCTGTAATATCTATTCGATCTTTTGAGCTTGTAGGTGCTCTGAAGACTGGTCATTGTTTGAAATGTAGGAACAAGAAGAGGCCATTCAGTCACTTGACCCCATTCTAGCAGTTGTTTAATAGCAGATTTGTATCTTAGCACCTTGATTCTGTCCAAGCCCCTGCCCTGGTATATATTTATTTCTCTCTTTCTTGAATATATTTAGTGATGTGGCCTCTTGTTGGGAGAGAATTCCACATGTTCATTACCCTTTGAGTGAAAAATGTTTCCTTTTCCCTGTACTGAATGGTCTACCCCATATCCTGAGAGTGACGTCTGATTCTAGATTCCCACAAGCAGGGAAAACCCCCTTCCTACATCTAGTCTGTTTAGCCCTGTTAGAATTTTGTTTCATTGTACATTTCAATCAGACATGCATTTCGGCTGAAGGAAGGATTTTGTTCTATTCTGGCAGTGACCACATCTCATGCAAGGACCTGCAGAAATGTAGGTTAATTTTAATATTATTTACCAGTGCTCATGGGGGCAGAATAGTTATAAATGTTTGAGACGAAAAGAACTACGGATGCTGGAAGTCTGAAACAGATACAGAAAATGCTGAAAAATCTCAGCAGGTCTGGCAGCATCTGTGGAGAGAACTCTGTGTCTGTGTCTGTGTGCGTTTAGTACTTTATCATTGTTCCTGCTTATTCTGCAGGTTGGACTGGCCCTCCACCTCTAACTGGGTGTGAGGTCTTCATCGGCAAACTACCCCAGGACCTCTATGAGGATAAACTAATCCCGTTGTTTCAGATGGCCGGGAAACTTTATGAGTTTCGTCTCATGATGACGTTCAGCGGCGAAAACCGGGGATTTGCGTATGCCAAGTATGCTAATCGTTGGTATGCCCAGTGTGCCATTGCCATGTTCAATGGCTACCAAATATGTGACGGGCTCCCCATGGTGGTCTGCAAGAGCACTGAGAAAAATGAGCTATGTGTCAGAGGCATTCCCTGGGGGAAGCAGAGACTGGAGGTCCTGGAAGTGCTGAAGGAGCTGACTGAGGGAGTGACTGACCTGTCGCTTCATCTCAACAAAGAGCGGAGGAAAAAGATGGCACTATTTGCGGTTGTGACATATCAAAATCATCGAGCAGCAGCGATGGCAAAGAAGACGCTCGTAGAAGGTAGGGTTCAGCCTGTATTTTGCAAGTTTCCATGGATTCCTAGAGCAGTGACATTGTGATGCAACCATCTTCCCATGCAAAACACATCTTGCAATTATTGAAAATTGCCTGTCTTAGTGACAGTTCCAGTCCATCAGACGAATGATCTTGGCTTTTCTCTAGATGATCCTGCCAATGTCCCTCACTGTTAACCACTACCCAAACAAGTTTTTGGACTTTTGTCCAGCTCATTGCTGTTTGTCCCATACTGCAGTGCCTAAAATGGAAGCTGCACTTAGTAACATTTCAAATGTTACTATCTGAAAACCCTTGAGTAAATTCAAGAAGTGTGATTTAGATGTGATTAAAAACTTTTACTGTCTGCTTTCTTTACATCCGTGTCAATGCATCTGAACCTTGCTTGAAGATTCAGAATTAACCTTTCAACTTTGCCTATTTCGTTGAATCAGCAGCCAGGAGCAATCAGAAAATTGATCCCTTCCCTCCCTCCCAGCTAAGGAATTAATTATCAAATTAAACCCTTTCAGGTCTCCATGCCCATCCCTCAACCCCAGACGAGGAATCAAATGACACTGGTTATCATAGTCATATAGCATGGAAATAAATTCTTCGGTCCAACTCATCCATGCTGACCAAGTATCCTAAATTAATTTAGTCCCATTTGCCAGCATTTGGCCTACATCTATCTAAACCCTTCCTATTCATGTACCCTCCAGAAGCCTTTTAAACGTTGTAATTGTACCCACCTCCACCACCAACTCTGGCAGCTCATTCCATCCACACTCAACCCTCTGCGTGAAAAAGTGTCCCTTGGGTCCCTTTTTTGAAATATTCCCCCTCTCACTTTAAACCTATGCCCCTCTAGTTTTGGACTGTTCTACTTGGGGAAAAGATCTTGACTATTCACCCTATCCGTGTCCCTCATTATCTTAAAAACCTCTATAAGGTCACCCCTCAGCCTCCAATGGTCCAGGGAAAATAGCCCCAGCCTATTCAGCCTCTCCCTATAGATTAAACTCGACAGTCCCATCAACATCTTAGTAAATCTTTTCTGAACCCTTTCAAGTATAACAACATCTTTCCTATTGCAGGGAGACCAGAATTGAATGCCTGGAGGGTTGTGGGTAATGTTCACACTTCCTCCCTCTCAGACCGTTTAAAATTGTGGACTTGATCTCCCACAAGCAGCAGTAACTCTTATCTTATGCATTCAACTGAAAATGCAGATTAGTGGAAAATGCTGTTCGTGGATATTGAGGGATATGAAGAGGAGGCAGATGGATAGTATTAAGGTATAAGTTACTAAAAATCTCAGTGAGAGGTGGTACAGGTTTGAGGGGCTGAATGGCCTCCTTGTGTCTCATTGATTATTTGATCAGCTAGAGAGGATTAAATGCCAGTTTGGGTCTTCTGACACTTCCGTACAAATCATTCATTGCTGTAAATCCAAGAGAAAGGCTTGAATTGAGAACATTTCACATTCCATTGGATCTCAAATTTTCAGAACCAACCCCATTGATGTTGTATTACAACATTTAACTGATTCATAAATGAGTTATTACACTTACATCACAAATATCAGGTTTAACCCAAGCTTTATGCTCCTTCCAAGTGTCCTCCTACCTTACTTCATCTCTTTTCCAGCTGCAAAACCCATGTTTAAAACCGAATCTTCATGGTATGAGCTTGTCTGGCTGGGTTAGCATTTATTTCTTATTCCATATTGCCCTGGACAAGGTTGTGATGAGCTGTATTCCTGAAATGCTGCAGTCCATGCTGTGTAGAGACACCCAGTGAGTTGTTAGGAAGTTTCAGGATATTGACCCAGCAACAGTGAAGGATCAGCAACATTGTTCCAAATCTGCATGATATTGGTAGGAACTTGGTAATTCCAGTAATGATCTGGGGACATTGGTTCAAATCCAATCGTGACAGCTAGTGAATTCTACAAGACATTTGGGGCAGCATGGTGGTTCAGTGGTTAGCACTGCTGCCTCACAGCACCATGGACCCAGGTTCAATTTCAGCCTCGGGCAACTGTCTGTGTGGAGTTTGCACATTCTCCCCATGTCTGCGTGGGTTTACTCCTTGTGCTCAGGTTTCTTCCCACAGTCTAAAGATGTGTAGGATTGGCCATGCTAAATTCCCCGTAATGTGTAGATTAGGTGGGTTACAGGGGGATGAGTCTGGGTGGGATGGTCTGAGGGTCGGTGTGGACTTGCTGGGCCGAAGGGCCTGTTTCCACACTCTGGGGATTCTGTGATTGATTTGGGAAGTCAAAATACAATCCATCAATCAGCATGGCTTTACGAAGGGTAAATCATGTTTGACTGATTTGCTAGAGTTCTTTTTAAGTTGTAACAAACAAGGTGGAAAATGGGGATCCTGTAGATGTGGTATATCTGGACTACCAGGAGACAATTGAATTGAATTGAATTGAATTGAATTGAATTGAATTGAATTGAACTGAATTGAATTTTCTTTATTGTCATGCACACAAATGAGTACAGTGGAAAGTTTACAAGTTGCCACTTACAGCATCATCTTATGTACAAGGTACCTAGGTCCAGATTCTTCAGTACAACTACTGAGGGAAAAGAAATAGAAAAATAAAGAAATGAAAAAGTATTTGAGGTGCTGCACAAAATATGCAAGATAAGATCACATGGGATTGGGTAATTTATGAGCTTGAATGGAGAATTGGCTAACCAACAAAGCAGAATGTTGGGATAAATGGGTCTTTGTCTAGTTGGCAAGATGAAACCAGTGGGTGCCAGAGGGTTTGAGACTTGAGACCTCAGCGATTTATTATCTATATTAATGACTTGGATGCGGGGATAGAAGATACTATATCCAAATTTGCAGATGACACTAAAATAAGTGGGAAAGTAATTTTAAGAATAAGAAATTGACAAATGGATGTGGTTAGTTTGGGTGAATGAACCAAATTTTGGCAGATGAAGTTTAATGTTAAGTGTGAGGTTATCCATTTTTGTCAGAGGAATGGAAAGATTATTATCTAAATGGAGACAAACTTCAGTGCTTCAGTGCAGCGGGATCTGGTTGTCCTTGTGCATGAATCACAGAAAACTAGTATGCAGGTACAGCAAGTAATAAGGAAGGCAAATAAAATTTTGGCATTTATTACTAAAGGCATTGAGTATATAAAATTAGGGAAGTGTTGCTGTAACTATACAAGGAATTAGTGAGACAGCACCTGGAGTATTGCATTCAACCTTCTTTCCCTTTGTAGAGGAAGGATGTAGTTATATTGGAAGCAATTGGAGGGAGTTCATTGGATTGATCCCAGAGATGGGGACATTTGTCATACGGAAGAAAGATTGAGCAGTTTATGCCTATACTCTCTGGGGTTCAGAAGAATGAGAGCTCTAATTGAGATATATAAGATACTAAAGGGAATTGACAAAGTAGACATGAAGTGGATGTTTCCTCGTGCGGCAATCTATAACGAGAGGTCCTAAGGGGTAGTCGATTTAAAACAGATGGGGAGAAATTACTTCTCCCAAAGGATCATGAATCTGCAGAATTTATTACCCCAGAATGTGATGGATGCTGGGACATTGAGTAAGCTTTGAGGGCGTTGACAGATTAGTAATGAGTTAAAAGTTATGTGGCGTGGTTAGGAAAATGGAACTGACGCCAAAATAAGATCATCCATCATTGTACTAAATTATGGGGCAGGCTTGGGGGACTGAATTGCCTACTCCTCCTAGATCTTGTGCTCTATTTAGCCGGATGAAATAAATATCTCATGGGGAATGGTAATCTGCTGTCCTTGTTCTGAGGAGGGGTCACCAGACCCAAAATGTTAACTCTGATTTCTTTTTCTTCACAGATGCTGCCAGGCCTGCTCAGCTTTTCCAGCAATTTCTGTTTTTGTTCCTTATTTTCTCTTTATTCACTTTCGGGATGAGGGCGTCATTGTCTAGGCAGCATTTATTGCCCATCCGTAATTGCCCAGGGGGCAGTTGCGAGTCAACCACATTGCTGTGGGTCTGGAGTCACATGTAGGCCAGATGAGGTAAGGATGGCAGTTTCCTTTCCTAAAGGACATTAGTGAACCAGATGGATTTTCCGACAATCAACAATGGATTTACGGTCATCATCAGATTCTTAATTCCAGATATTTTATTGGATTCAAATTCCACCATCTGTTGTGGTGGGATTCTAACCTGGATCCCCAGAACGTTGTCCGGTCTCTAGATTAACAGTCCAGCGATAATACCGTTAGGCCATTGCCTCCCTCCTGATCTACAGCATCTGCGGTTCTTTCGGTTTTTAATCTGCTGTTCTTATCTGGTCTGGCATACATATGATGCCAGGTCCATTGTAATATGGTGGAAATGAAGTGGCCTCCGAAATGGCTGCACAAGCAGCTCAGTTTAAAGTCAATTCGGGATGGGCAACAAATGCTGGTCTTCCCAATGACACCTATATCTCATGAAAGGCTAAAGAGCATTTTTTATTTTCTGTAGCTTATAGCTGGTTAAGGAGTTGGAAGTTTGCCAACTGATATTAAAGCTTAGAGTCACATCAGGAAATGGAGTAACTGAAACTTGAAAGTTTTAACTTTCTTGTAAGACCCTTTTTGACACTACTGATGAGGCAGGTGAAGGCTTGCGTTGTCTCCAATTTGTACCAAGTGCAGACATCTGGAACAATTGTTGAATTGATGAATGAAATATTTAAACCTTGACCTGTCTGCTGCCAAATTTGTTTAGGGGGTGAATCTAGTTTATTTTCCGGTTTAAGTTGGTTGCCATGTGGTTAATTCAATAGTTTTTTTAAAAAAATACTTGTTTAATTCAACAAACGTATGGGTAGAACTTAACTTCTGACTCTGGTTAATGGTAACTTTTTTTTTTGGTTTTGTTTCTGGTTTCAGGTTGTATCGAGCTCTGGGGCCGACCCATTGAGGTTGACTGGGTGAAAGTGGATGGGAGACAGAAGAGTCACGACAGCCTCCTTTCTCAAACCCAGCTGGGTTTGTCGGCAGCACCATGGTTGGTGTTGCCCCCTGGGCTCTCCCTACCATCACCAAAGGGTCTTGCCAAATGCTTCATGCCCGAGTTAAACGTCTCTTCTAATTGTGGCCAAAGCACTACATCTGCCGGATCGATGGGCCTGATGACTCAATGCCTTCACTCGGAGGGCCCAGGTCTGTTGAACACCCGATGTGATGTTGTTCAAATTCTGAATGCCTATTGTGCGCATAAGGAACTAGGGACTCCAGTGTATAATGTCCAATCTCTGAGGACTGACCAGCAACGCTTTCTGTTTAAAGTGTTCTTGCCAGGACTTGCTGCCTCTTTCAGTGGGACAGTGACCCTGACTCCTGATGAGCTGGCTTTGGGGAAGAACAAAGCTAAGCAAGAAGCTGCCCACCAAATCTTGATGTATTTGGGTGAGTAAATGTATTTCTTTTAGTGTTGTGGAAACCTGTGACCTCCACCATCTTGAAGGACAAGGGCAGTGTCAATCAGGAAACAGCTTCCTCCCTGCTCCAGTCTCTCTCCACCCTGACTTTGAATTATACTTGTATTATTTTTCACTGGATGAATTTTAAAAATGGAGTAATAGTTTTCACCTCCAGAAAACCAGAATAAAAAGTGTGCAATTTAGGAAAAAGCTAGACAGAGATCTGGTGAGAGATGCTATCTGGAGTTATTATCATTGAGGAAAAAATGAACTTGTAAGCAAAAGACCTTGTGCAGGGAAGTTGTCTCTCAAACTTTGAGGTTTTTTTTGAGGTCACAAAGATGACTGAGGGCAGGGGATTGATGTCTGCATGGACTTGAGCAAGGCCTTTGACAATGTCCCTCATGGCAAGCTGATACAGAAGGTGAAGTCACATGAGATCTATGGTGAGCTGGTAAGATGGATACAGAACTGGCTTATTCATAGAAGATAGAGTAGTGGTGGAAGGATCTTTTTCTGATTGGAGATCTGTGACCATAGGTATTCTACAATGATCAGTGCTGCGACTCCTATCTTTTGTAATACATATAAAGTGATCTGGAGGAGAACGTAGGTGGCCTGATTAGTAAGTTTGCAGAAGACCCAAAGATTGGGGGAGCTGAGGATAGTGAGGAGAATTGGCAGAAGATAAAGCTGGATATAGATAGGCTGGAGACTTGGGCAAATAAATGGAAGATGGAATTTCCTCTGGACCAATGTGAGGTGATGCACTTTTTATTTGTTTTGGAAGGTCTAATGTAGGAGGGTAGTATACAGAAAATGGCAGACCCTTAGTAGCATCAACATGGAGGGATTTAGATGTGCAGGTCAACAGTTCCCAGCAAGTGGCAACACGAGTGGATAAAGTGATCCAAAAGGCACGTGCCATGTTTGCTTTCATCAGTTGGTGCATAGAGTATAAAAATTGTCAAGTCATATTGCAGTTGTATAGAACTTTAGTTACGCCACATTTGCAATGGTGCATATAGTTCTGGTCACCACACTACCAGAAAGATGTGGAGGCTTTGGAAATGGTTTACCAGGATGTTGCGTGGTTTGGAGGGTATTAGCTGAGGAGACAAACTTGATTTGTTTTCATATGAACATCAGGTTGAGGGGTCACCTGATAGAAGTTTGGAAAATTGAGAGATGGATAGCTGGGAGTTTTTTTTCCGAGAGTCGAAATCCAAATATGATGAGACATGGGCTTAAGGTAAAAGGGGGGAAAGTTTAAACGAGATGAGAAGCAAGTTTTTTTTACAAGAGTGTGGTAGGTGCCTGGAATACACTGCCAGAGGAGGTGGTGGAAACAGATACAATAGCAACATTTAAAATGCATCATGACTTATGAGTAGTCAGGGAATAGAGGGATATTGATTGTGTAGCAGCAAAAAGGCACCATCATCCGATCTGTTCCTGTGCTGTAATGTTCTTGTTCTGTTGTGAACACTGAACCTCGCAAAAGGATATGTTAATATTGGAGGTGGTGCCACACTGGTTCACTGGAATGATACCAGGGCTAAGCAATTGAAATAAAGCCACATTCTTTCAGCTATAATCCAGGTATTAAAGGGCTCTCTTGCATAGATGGAGTGACTAGAGCCTCTGGGAGATCCAGAACAAGGGATTGTAACCTTAAAAAAAAAATAGAGCTAGGATGTGCAGGGACAGTTCTAGGAAGCAGTTCTTCACATAGTGTGTTGGAAATCTGGAATTCCTCCCCACCCAGCTCAGCATCACCTCAGTATTGCTTCCTTTTTTTTTAAAATTAAAGGAGCCTAGAGACTTTTTAAAAAAAATTGAGGTGAGCATAAGTAACCAACTTGTTTTGGTAAATTAGCAACAAGTGTTAATTGTCAAGGAAATGAAAGATGATATTTCCATTTGATGAATTTTCAGATTGTGCAACTTTCAAGATGGGCTGTATATTCCATTATATATTCAGAAAAATGTACATTTACGCTCCCAAAAGAAGTCCCTTCTCTCCTCCATCCCAGCCTTCTGTACCTTAATAGTGAATATTGAGGGAGAAATGTCAATCCATACCATTACTTCAGGTATTGATTAATCCTATACAGCGTATTAAGGAATGTGGGACGAAGTTATCATGGATCAAGGTTTGATTAAATGGTGGAAAAGGATGGACCAGCTGAATAACCAACCCTAGTTGTCACTGGGGAAAACTCATTGGAAGTAGTTTGACATTTTCAATTCATGATGAATGTGCTGATTAAATTTGGTATTTGCGTTGCATTTTTTAAAAAAAAACTCAGATGTGGGTGTCGCTGGCAGGGCCAGCGTTTATTGCCCATCCCTAGTCGCCCTTGAGAAGGTGGTGGTGAGCTGCCTTCTTGAACTGCTGTAGTCCACCTGCTGTTGGTTGACCCACAATGCCCTGAGGGAGGGAATTCCAGGATTCTGATCCAGCGTCAGTGAAGGTACAGCAATATATTTCTGAGTCCCGATGGTGAGTGGCTTGGAGGGAAGCTTGCAGGTTGTGGTGTTCCCATGTATCTGCTGCCCTTGTCCTTCTAGATGGAAGTGGTCTTGTATTTTGGAAGGTGCTGACTGAGGATCTTGATTGTCCAGCTGCCTTTAATCTGCACAGGAGAGGAATAAATTGAATGTCATTCATTTCTATCTAGCAAATGACTATACTGTGCCATGCTTGTAATGGCTGAGAGGTAGGAGGTGAAAATTGACTGATTCAGGTGCAAGTCCCACTTCAGCTCCGAACAGGCTGACAGCTGCATCGGCTACAAGCAGTTCCCCCAACTCGACTCTCAAGGGTCCAAAAGTGGTGGAATGCTGTGGTCTCACAGTAGGTAGGGGATGTGAGATGGGATTGACTTGGGGTAGGTTTTGTGTGTGTGCATGGGGTATGGAGTCCTGATGTTTTGTCATGGGTTGTTGAGAGACCATCATGGAGCATTCTTTCAGAAGGCAGGAGGTTGGGGAAGTCAACCAGTGAATTTTAAAGATCCCTAGGTCTGTAAGTAGGATGGGGTTGTGGGGGGGGGAGGTGGCCATAAACTTCCACCATTCTGTTTATTTGACAGATCTGCCATTTTTAATTTATAATACAGGCTACATGCATTGTTAATAGGCCCACATTTCCACTTAACTGCTTGCATAGATTCTCAGTTCTTTTTATATTTAGCTTAAAAGCAATATTGGAGCTTTTTCAATTTATTGTACCATTTACTTTCTTCATGGGGAGAATGCTCTTAAAAAGCAACCTGCTAGATTCCCATTGATTTCCTGCATTTGTGTAAAAGCTTTTGGACTAAGTTGCAGTTTAAAAACCTTGGGGCTCCTTTTATAATGCTGCTGTTGTAACCAATGTTGAAATAATTTCTCTGTGGATGTGTATAGTCCATTTGTGCATGTTTGGATCAACACAGGTTTTAGTCTTGTTTGCCTAATACACTTGAGATAGAATACATAAAACATCCTTCTTCAAGCTGCTAATGGTCTTTATTTCCATTACAGGTCATTCCTTGGGTTTTGATGGCTTTAATCCTCCTAATACTTTGACTCTGAAGAACCCATTTTGAACTCTAGGTTTTACTCTGAACTATACAGACTTCTGGTTTCTGCAATTTCCAAAGAAAAATTGGATCTGAACACAAGTTTGTTATTGTTACACTTTCACATTTTGTTTGAGTTTTTTTTAAACCTGAGCACATGTTTGCCACTGTTTTAAAAATGTTTAATAGTTAGTAAGTTTGCCTACTCATTCTAAGCTCTGCCAGGATTCTTTTTGTCTGTCTTTGTCTCTCTGTCTGTCTGTCTTTCGCACTTATCAAACTTGACAGCTTGCCTCTAGTTGTTAATTCCTTAATCTGTACCAGTGTAAACTGAATTCCTGATGTGTTCACATTTTATAAAATTAAATGAGGAAGGACACCATCAATGTGCCAATAAGCTTTCTTTTTTTCATCTTTTAGCCCATGTTTAAGACAGAAGGAATGGACTTTAATGCAGGATTTTCAAATAACTTAAATTTCCTTGTGTCCAAATTCTTGATGGATCCAGTCATTTTATGAAACCTAGACTGGTTAACCATGGAGGACCTGAAGTATTTGTAGCTGCCTTGAGTGTTTTATCCTCCCCATTTACATGAGAATGCTGAATTATCATTTGATGCTTTTTTAGCACAATGTGAACTATCCAGTAACTGAGACTGACAGTGAATTGTATTCTTTTGCTTCATTTTCAGTATCTTTTCCTAAATTGTAAATTTTTTTTGGCTTTCTGTTCACTTCATGATTAGGGATTTCTGCTGCATTTAGTCTGCTCATTTATGTATAACATTGTAAATATTGCATTGCGGTCCAGTGACTTTTTTTTAAAGATAAAAACCTTTTTTACTTGTGCTTTTTGGATGTGTGCTGTCCACTGGGACCTAGGGGAGTCCTTGCATGTGAGAACCTAGATGGAACAGAAATGGATTAAGGTTTTGCTCCCAAGGTACAGATGTAATATTGCTCAGTATCTCATTGAGGAGCTCAATAAATGGGTCACAGCTTGCTAACTACAAAGTCTCTGGGATGTCCTGGAATTGCTGAACTTTCAGTCACTCTGATGAGGTGATTGTATTTTGATGGTATGCATGCTGGGATTAACATGTCTACCAGCTATGATCTTGCAGCAATTGGCTTTGATGTAACAGACTTGAACATAAGACCTCGGAGTAGGCAATTCAGCCCCTCATGCCTGCTTTCCCCCATTTAATACAAACATGGCTGATCTCCTTGCAGCCTCAACTTCACTTTTTTCCTGTCTGCTCTCCATAACCCTTCATCCCATTACGAATTAAAAATCTGTCTTTGTCATCCTTTCAAATTTACCTAATGTCCTGGCATCCACTGCACTCTGGGTAGTGTATTCCAAGATCCACGACCAGAAGTAGTTCCTCCTCAAATCTGTTTGAAATCTGGTACTCCTTATTTTTAAAACTATGACAAATGTTCCCTCTAATTTTCTTTTGGGCTGTATAGGCCTCAGAGACCCATGCACGACAGCAACTTCTGATTTCGGAAGTCAATGCCATGATCGCTGTGTGCCAAACATCAGAAGGGCTGAACAGCTTAGAGGAAACATTGACTGACCTCTTGTTATAGATTGCCCCTTGTAGGGCAATGTCCATTCTCCATCCACTTTGTCAATTCCCTTTTTAATATCTTCTATACCTCCAATTGGATCCCCTCTCATTCCTCAACTCCAGAGTATAGTCTGACCTGCTGAATCTATCTTAAGACAAAGGTGGAATTAATCTAGTGAACCTCCTCTGAATTGCAACATGGGGAGAAAGGCCATTTCTGATTAGTTATTGACCTGGTAAAGACCATGGCCTGGAATAACCAGATTGAGGTCTTAATAGTAAATGGATCTTTTCAAAAAAAAATGTAGTTGCAGCAGGTTAACTCTAAAGCGCTACCTCCATTCAATACCTGCCCCTTTTTTTTTTCACATGAAAAGTTCTGCACAACCAAAAGTACAGTCTGTCCGTAGTAATGCTGTTTAGCTGTGACTTGCTGTCACACAAATCTCTCGAATCTAATCGTACCATACCTACGCAAACAGCTCTGCTTGGGGTGAGGAAATGTTCTGATGGATGTATCATCCATCAGATCATTTGACCCTAACCTGTTAGTGTCTCATGCGCATTGAAATCTCATTTCAGTTACATGCCACTCTGCTGACTCTCCATGCTGGCTTTATGAAAGTGAGACTTAAAATTAAGATTTCTGTAAACTGATGTTTGGTAGCTTTTTGCACAAGTATTTTTGTTTCAAGTAACTTAATGTTGTAGAAAAAAAAAGTTCTGGTTTAAAATTGACTGTGGTTTTGTTCATGTTTTTGACCTTTTACAAAGTTCTGTTGGAAGGAAATATTGCTTTTTAATTTCATTAAAACTGCATGTTTCAAAAATGGTGTCTTTTGGATTATAACATGTTTCTGTGTCTCTTTCTTTCTTTTCTCTCTTTTCCACCCCCCCACAGCATAACCCCTTGCTGCATTATCACTTGTCACATTGGTGCCTGGTCAGTAATTGATGCTAAAATTTAATAGGAAGCCTTGAATTTGCTAGTTTGCTGGTTACATTTAGTCAGCATGGAATTTATCTGTCATCAGGTGCTGACTGTCCTGCTCTGAATTCCTAACCTTTTTTTTGTTGAAATTACAAATCATTTACAAAATTGGTTTAGCTCTAACCCCTTCACTGCAAGGCTAACAGTAACAAAAGTTAAGAAGCTAAAGAGTTGAGCAACACAGTTGGCATACTAGTTTTTAGCAAGGTCAAGTCAACAACTTATTTTGCACATCTGCTCATAAAGAGTTATTAAAAGCAGAATGAGAGAATTGCCAGTCTATAGAATTGTTGTCTTGCAGCACAGAAGCAGGCCTTTTCAAAAGAAACATTAAACAAGGTCTTGCCTTGCCCTCTTATAGAATGCTTAGGGTGGAAGCAGGCTATTCGTCCCATTGAGTCTATAGTAGCTCTCTGAAGAGCATCCCTCCAAGACTCAGTGTGCAGTAGGTGACACCATACCCCACGACTCTCGATGGGGTGGAAATTCCCACCAAGGTAAGCTCAAAGTTTCCATCGGAGTTCAAACAGTGAGATTAATAACTTGAACTTCTCCAGCAATTTTCATGTATTGTGATTTTTCAAATGCATTGATGCAGGAGGAAAGGAATCAGAATTTCCAGAATGAGGTGACAGCTCTTCTCAGTGATGTGGAAGTGAGACGCCATTGAGTCGTGGAAAGTAGACAAGCAAAACTGCCCAGGAAAGTGATCTCCTCAATCTGAAAGCATGTGCTTGTAATGCAGGCAGTGAGTAGAAATGTACAAATTAATATAAAAATGATTTAGGAATATAGGAATAAAACTAGTCCCTCAAGCTTATTCTGCCATTCAATGAGATCATGGCTGATCTGTGGCCTAACTCCATATAGCTCCCTTGGGCTCATAACTCTTAATACCCTTTGTTTAACAAAAATGTATCTATGTCTGATTTAAAGTTAACTCATCTAGCGTCAACTGATGTTTGTGGAAGAGAGTTCCAAACCTCTACCACACTTCCCAGGGAATCTGCACACAGATTTGTTTTAAACTTAGAGTGTTAGTTTTTGAGTTGAAAGTTTAGGACAGTCACAATGTTTTTATTGCTGTTACCAAAATGCAGTTGTATTGGCAGTGCTTGTGACTTTAGTTAGTTTAACCTGTAACTACAAGCCAGCAACCCCCACCCCAGCAGCACACCTTGCAAGCCGTCTCTGGTTTTGCAAAACATGTCTTGGGTTGGGGGTTACAGCTGTCTGGAGTAAAACAAAACAAAATGCTGGAAAGATTTCAGCAGGTCAGGCAGCAATAATAAA